ATCAAGATCGGTAGAAATCGAGCGATACTGTGAACTTTGTAAGGAGAGAGTAATACGGGATTCAGATCATACCGTTATGTTGGGTTCAGGAAAGGTGGTACATAAATCTGATATTTCGTTCACTTTAGCTGGTTTCGACTCAGAGTCTTCAGCGACGCTGGATAAATCTTCACCGCCACCGCCTACAGATTTCCGTAAGGAAGCGGTTTTGAAAGCACCGCAGAAATTCCTACAGGATCAACCCCACGACAACCATTGTGCGATGTAACGGGAACAGTCAACAATCCATTTAATTTGACAGTTCATCTGAATGTTTGATGTCCATGGACAGCCCGACGGTTAATCGCGATGCGATCAGCTTGTTGCCTAAGGCCTGCGACAACCAGTCACCAAGAGAACCGCCTAGTGTAGTAGAGGACAGGACAGCCAAAAAGCCGCCAACTGATATCATCGTGCCTGATTCAAGTTCAAAAATTAATACTGTGATACGAATGGATACAGAGATTCCGGGAAAACAATCAACCCAGTAGAAGTAGTCCGGGTGCAAGTAGTCCATTAGTTCAAAGCCCTGAGCCGGACTACCGCAAGCAGCCAGGAGCCAGGAACCTAATGCACTACCGCAATCAGCCTCAGGCATGTCGGGTGTTTAAAATGTCAGCACGAGGGAGAGCTTAGGTGGGGGAGCTCAGGTCTCAGGTGGGGGAGCAGATACCATCGAAGAAAGTGTCAATGAGCCCGAAAAATATCCCAAGCCCAAAGAAACGTATGGCTGAAGATACTTCTTTCGATAGAGATATGTGTCGTTTCTATTGGGGCGACGATTACGTTCAAGACGATATTAATGGCCTGGGCGCGAACGTGTCGGGGCTCTTTGCAGATGTCCTTGACAAATCAAGTCGGATTATACAACACGCCAATGGTTGACCATCGGTGGTCGATGCCTTTGGTAGCAACGTGGACGGAATCCGAATCCAAACTTTGTACCAGGGGCACGGATCAGAAATAGACGCAAGAATCCGGCGCCTGGAAAACTGGTTGACGTTGCACAAGCAGGAATACAGCGGACGAGGGAGGCTCTCGGTTAAGCGGCCATGCATTAGTTTAAAAAGTTAGCGGCCGAAGTCGTTGTGTCATGCCGGATTAGTAGCACCCAAAATACTTGTCCATCCAAAGACACGCAAGAGTATCAACCGACAGTTTCTTCAGCAGTGGGCAGTGGTGAATCAAGCTCAGGTCCATCACTAGAATAAGCAGGACTGACGGTGGATTACCAGTCACTCACACAGCCGGCGGTAATCACGGACAATTCGACACTTCGCGACTTTGGCGCGAAACAGCTAGAGAATGTGGACGATGAAAAAATGATTTCCGACTAAGCCGACATCAGTGGTGACTTCAGTGGCGCAATGGCCACCGATGATTTGGACATCGCGGATGAAATGTCGGCCATCAGTAAGACTGAGGAGGACCACCGACAGTTATAGGAAGAATTGGAAAACTTGAGACAGGCAAATTTGTGATGCCAACGGAGTATGATACCATTGGGGGCCGCCTAGAGAGGGAAAAAATAGTCGAGTGGAATTTAAAACTTTAGTTAATAAAACTGTAAACTGATTATTGACTGATTGGATGCTTAGTGCAGAAACTTGATGGTTCTTATTATGTTCTTGATTTAATTGAAAGGGGAATGTAGTGCAGACTGTTTAATTGGTTATGTAAATTGTGTTAGAAACACTTTTATGTATGGTACTCATGTAATATAGTAAACGTCAACGTTATAGAGAGCGTTGGTATTGCACATCGCCACTGTGTCCTTTGAGAATTCAAACATTATATTTCTCAAACGTTTTATCAAATCTTACTTATTTCTATACGGAGGTTGAAAATACTTCTACAACTAGGATTCCGCGCACATATACTTGTGACGTTACTATGTCGGCACATTAGTGTTGACGCAGACTCCGCAACGACTGAACATAGCTGGTCGTTTTGGATTCCGCTGGTGCACGAGATCTCGCAAATATCCAAGAAATATATGGAGTTGTTGTCTATAGTGTAATGAACACACAACATCCAAGAATTCTATGGAGTTGTTGTCTATAGTGTAATGAACACACAATGAACACACAACACACAAGTGTTCTTTAATCATTAAAGTTTATTCTTGCTTCCGCAAACTCGGCTGCTTTCGGAGTGATTTTTGTGCGATGCAGTGTTTCAGCTAGCTGTGTGCTGATTTTTAACCAGCAGAATTACTAAAGAAAAAAGTTTTTGGGTTAAGCAACAAATCAGTTTTCAGCTTGTCCACGAATCTGCTTACGGTTAAAAAAATCAGTTTGACCTCGTAATGCAATGCAAACAAACGAGTCGCGCGTTTGCCCACTTAAACAATGTTTGCGATAAAAGAAACAGGCCTTAATACAACTGCAATGAAAACTGCTATTAAAAGAAAACTGCAATTAAACTTGAACAGAGCCCAAATTTAAAGCTGAGCTCTAAGTTTGGACTTGATGTCAACCAAAAAGAATTGCTGTCCTGAGCTCAAAATCAAAAGGATGATTTAATCGTGATTGATTTTTCGAAAATTCAGAAGAGTCTGAAAGTTGTCATCTTTCTAATCTGGGAAAAAACGCAAAAAAGCAGGTTATACAAAGTGGTCTATCATATAAAAATTTTTCAGATAGGAAATGGTCTGCATTGAAAGTATGCGATCTTTTTCGATTTTTAGTGGCATCCCGCACCAAGTTTAAGCGTAAGTAATCAATTATAATGGATTATTATGATGATCTTAAATTAGTTGTCTAAAGGATTTGTATTTGATTATAATCGTGATATTTTCCAAGAGATTATAGTCTTATAATCGGTTATATTTGATTATAGTTCTTACAAAAAACCGTTAAAATCAATTATAATCAATTATAATCGATCATAATCTTTTATTTTGCCAAAACTTGTCAATTCAAAATTATATTCGAATTATATCTCAAGGGTTATTATTTTTTTGTCAATCAGAAAATATTTAAAAAAGAGATTTACTGAACACAAAGTTTTACCACGAAACAAAAGTTTCATAGAGATCCTTTCATACTGATGGAAAATTCCCGCGGTAGATGAAAAATAAATCTTTCGAATCAATCATGAAACTTAATCGATTTGCTGATGATTTGGTGGTTAAAAAAGCTTAAAGTAAGCATCACAAAACATCTTTAATAAGGAAGAAATGGAAAAACACCTTATAAACTGGAATTGATTGGAAAGATTTAAAAACATTTTTCTCATTTTTCATAGGAACCAACGTCTACAAAAAGCATTTAGAAAAAGCAAATTAGATGCAACTTTGAAGAAAAAATGGACAAACAAAAGGAATTATAATTTATTATAATCGATTATAATGGATTTTTGTGCAAAACTAAGGAATTACTAATTTGAATAAAAACAATGGATTATAATCATAATAATTGATTATAATTGTATCGAAAAATGGACGAATAAATAATCGATTATAATCTATTATAAAGGATTATAATTAATTATAATTTGATATTAAAAAGTGAGATTATATTCGATTATTAATTGATTAAAATCGATTGTTTCTCATTTTTAATAAGATTGGTACTAAAATTGTAATATAATTGATTATTAACGCTTGAAACTGGATGCGGGATGTCAGTCGTAATGATTCTTAATGATAATGATTCTGGAAGTCCTTTTAAGCAAGTAATGAGTACAAAATGTTACTCATAAATTCAAGATTTAAAAAGCTTAATGTAACGTTTTTTTATTTAGTGTAACGTTTTTTAAGCATTATTGTTTTTTTAGCCTGGCATCAAGTTGCTGTATTTCTAGAAAAAATTATGTCGCGCTGTGCTAGAGCGGGCTGCATGCGATTGCTCGCCTATCAAGTTCTCTCTTTTTTTTTCAGTCCGCTGAATGTTTTAAAAAAATTTGGAACGTTAAAAAAATTGCTCGACGGTTTTGTTAGAGAACCTTCCATGCCCGCTGTCTTCTCGAGAAGGGATCCCAATTTGAGGTTTTCGCCTCTTTTGAAGCAAGATTTGAGCGGTTTGAGTGGTTTTTTTAGACGATTGCGCTCAAAATCTTGCTTCAAATTGAGCGGTTTTTGAGCGATTTATAAAAAAAAACGCTCAAAAAACCGCTCAAGATTTGAGCGGTTTGAGCGGTTTTTTTTAGACAATTACGCTCAAAATCTTGCTTCAAAATGAGCGGTTTGAGCGGTTTTTGAACGGTTTATCTACAAAAACCGCGCAAGATTTGAACGGTTTTGAGCGGTTTATCTAAACAAACCGCTCAAAAACCGCGCAAAATTTGAGCGGTTTTTGAGCGGTTTATCTAAACAAACCGCTCAAAAACCGCGCAAATCTTGCGCGGTTTTTGAGCGGTTTTTTTAGATGAACCGCTCAAAACCGTTCAAATCTTGCGCGGTTTTTGAGCGTTTTTTTAGATAAACCGTTCAAAAACCGCTCAAACCGCTCATTTTGAAGCAAAATTTTGAGCGTAATTGTCTAGAAAAACCGCTCAAACCACTCAAATCTTGCTTCAAATTAGGTGAAAAATCTCGACTCGGGAAGCTCAACTTCATGAAGCTTAGCTTCAGTCTCGCCCCACTGAACAAAATAATACAAAAAAAATTTAAACTACTTAAAAAATCAGTTTTGCTTCTTTTTGGCAATTATTGAATTTTGAATTGAGTACGGTTTACTAAGTTTGATTTATTAAAAAAAATCATGTTGGTCAACCTACTCAAATGGTTCTGAAAAACTGTCCTTTTGTCATCAAACACCTTCATCCATCCCCGTTAAAATTGGTCTGAGTGCTTCACGAAAGGCAAGAAAATGATTTTGCAGTTTCATTGCCATCACCTTGAAATCACTATCATCCTTCTCTTTCACCATATTTTGTCTAGTAAAAACGGTAGCTATTGATACAAATGATGTAGTTTTCAAAATTTGACAGCTTTTATACTTTTCAAACTTTGACAGATTCGTGCGAGAGCTACCTTTACCCCTGTTCCGACTACATCATCGGCAACGCAGTTCTCATAGTCTACTACGGCATCACTCTCGGATATGGCGCCAAACTCATCTCGGACGGAGCAGAGGGACTTCTAGACCTCGGAGTGGCGCCGGCACTCATCGGCGGCGTCATCCTCCCCGTCTCGGGGGTTGTACCCGACAGCATGATGATACTGGTGTCGGGTCTAGGGGACAAAGCGACCGCCCAGAAGCAGATCTCAGTCGGGATGGGGACTCTGGCGGGGTCGACGGTGTTGCTACTGACTGTGGTGTGGGGAGTGAGTTTGGTTGTGGGCCGAGTCGATCTCGTGACGTCACCCACTTGCCATGGTCTGGTGGCGAACAGCGAGATTAGATGCACGGGATACAGTTTGACCAAACAAGGTGAGGGTTTCAAGATACACAAAAGATTAGAAAACATTTTCAAACCCAACCGGTTATTTTTTGTTTCATTGGTAATTCTTTTTCAAGCGCTGGTATGTAAAATCAAATGCTTAAAATGCATTGCAATCATAAAATCGTGAATGAGTTCAGCGACTGCTGATTCAACTTGCCATCCTTTTGTGTAGGTGTGGAGGTTACGAAGGAGGTCACACTGACTGCAGTGATCATGGCCGCCACCACAGTGCCCTACTTCATCATCCAGTCCTCCGACTGGTACTTCGGGGCCACCAGAGTGGGAGAGAGGGAACCCTCCTACGTGAGATGGGCTGCACTGGTCACCATGATCATATCATTCACTGGATTCGTGGCCTACATTGTCATGCAGTTTTTCATGGCCAGCAAGGGGGCTAATACTGCGCCCATGATTAAACATCAGAAACACAAGGAAGAAGAAATTGTTCTGCGGGTATAGTTTACACTTCGTTCAGTTTAAGCTAAATTACACAATAACCAAGATCTTTTTGTTTTTATAGTCAAATTTGTACTTTGAAGCTCAAAATAACGGCACAGGGGATGATTTTAGAGACAACAAGTTCCACAGAAACTCGGTCACTCCTTTTCAAATGACCTCCACATTACTCGAACAACTCTATTTCAACATTTTTGAATGCTTCTAATAGTACAAACAGTTTTTTGATGCTGTTTCAGGCCGCAAAAATGTTCTATATGGCTCCAAGCATTACTCTTCGCAATTCAAATGACAACACAGGGAGTGAACGCGACGAACACCTTCTGGGCAAAAAATACTTCGCTGGATGGCGCCTCGCAGCCCAGGCCAACCGGAAGGCAAGGGACCACTTCCAGTCTCAAAATGTAAATGTAGTCGAGACAGCCATGAACGGAAACTGCGAACAATCACAGCTGATCGGCAACAATATTCCGCCTGAGATCGATGACAAATCGGGTCCAAATTGGGAAGTCTTAGGTCCTGCGATTGGACGCCTGACATTTGGCGTTGCTCTCGTTACTATCTTCTCCGACCCTATGTGCGACAGTTTGACCCGAATCACTGACCCTAAGAACCCGCAACATATTCCCATAAGCTCCTTCTATATTTCTTTTATTATAACTCCCTTGTGCTCAAATGCAAGTGAACTTGTTTCGTCAGTGGCCTTTGCGATGCGAAAGGAAAAGGAGAATTTGGTGATGACCTACACGCAACTATACTCGGCCGCTATTATGAATAACACCATGTGTCTGGGAGTGTTCTGCGCTTTAGTTTACTTCCGAGATTTAGAGTGGTACTTTTCAGCAGAAGTCACCTCAATTCTGTTCACAGAATTCCTCATGGCAGCTCTTGCACTGAAGTGCCGCAAAATTTACAAGCTATATTGGGCATTCCCTGTCATTTTGATCTACTTTTTGTCATTGCTGCTTGTAATGTTCCTAGAAAAAGTTCTCAAATGGGGTTAATTTTACTCTAAAGACAAAACGAAAATACGCACTTAGTTTCTAGAAAAAATTTCCTTGAATGAAGATAGACTTATTACATTTGTGGCAGTGGCGTTCTTTTGCTGGGAGACGGGGGCTCTAGAAAATAAATGGTTTACCGGCATATCATAAGATCTAAAAACGCCAATAGGTGGTCACATTCAGTTTTCATGAGACAATTTTCACTATTATTATCTGCTTATTATATATAAATATATTCTATTCATTTAAGGAAATTCACGGATCTCCATCTAGAGTCTAAAATAACAAACCTCTTTCCATGCCTAAGTCCGCTACTGGCAAAAACAACTGCGCACATTCTCAATATCTTCTGTTATTGAATTAGAAAAAATTTGCACATCTTTAATAATTATTAGAAACTCAAAATTAAACTTGAATGGATCTTCTTTTCATTTCAGTTACAAATCAGAATAAGTCGGAAAATTTTCGAACCCATCTAAGCAATTTTTTTTCAAATCGAAACCAGTTTCTGTAAATCAAAACCAAGCATGCCATTTTTTATGATACAAGTTTTACCTACGATGCGATGAAAATCATTTGAAAAAGAGCTCCAATTTAACTTTACACATTGGGTTAGCTATTGTATCGTTTCAATGAACCAATCGCTTTTTACTGGAAAAAAAAGAAATTTAATCGTTTTTTTTTGCTCCAAAAATTTGTGCTCAAGAAAAATCTCCGTCAGTGTTACGTACGGTGATCTATGGTCACACCAGGAGAAAAATTTGCCAAAAACCGTTTGTTTCGGGCCATCCTTTTTGTTCCAACTTTCGTAACGAAAGTAACCGAATATTTGTGCGCGGGGTGGTTTTTTTCTTCTAATAAAATTCGAATTTCTAACAGACTTTGACTGAATTTTTATTTACATTTTTGAGCTTAAAATTGAAAAGATTTTTCACCTGTGATCATTTTTTGTAAAGCTATGGTTTAAAGAATGCCATTTTAATCACTTTGGGACAAATAAAGCGCGATATGACGCCTAAGCGCAGATTCTAAGAATTTGTATTTCATATGGCGTGTGCGGGGATGATTTTCACGAAAATCTCAAATTAAAAACAAATGATATAATTTTATTACTGTAAATTTTTTCATGTTATTAACTGCTTCATAGACTTTGAAAGGTAGTCGTAAGTTTCAGGACTTTGTGTGAAAAACTGAAATGGAAAATTTTATTTTCTTTCGAGTTGTCTGCACTAGTTATTCTTAAAATCTTGTTTCCTTCTTTGAAGTTCTTACCGGCTTTCAGGCATTGATTGCAAGACGTTCCAAGATTATATATCTCTCGGTATATATAGATATGAGGCCACCAAATATATTCCGCGAGAAACGTCATCCCGAATTGGTCTGGGTGGGTCTCGTGAAGCATTGCGCTGAAGGTTCCCTTAATAGTAGCCGGCACGACTAACTTATTATCTAGGAATAATAAAGAACTTTCACGTGAAGGTCCTTCGAGAAGTTTTTCATATATGTTCCCAGAGTGCCCATTGGTCGTTTGTATTTTATTGTTTCAAGCAAGTCCCGAATAACTTTGTCATCTCTCGTCATCAATTGTAGAAATTTCTTGGAACAGTGATCATTGGGAAATATCGGTGAACTGAGTAGATTTGACTCGGCTTTACAACTCTTCAATAACTTTGCATATTCGTCTGCTATATGATCATCTTTAAATTTTAAGGCACTTTTGTGTTCTTCAGGAAATATAAGTTGAGTGCCGGTAATATCCTCCATTTTTCTGTATCGATTTTTTTTGTTGATAGGTAAATACTTTTTTTAATGACAGGGGAAAGAATTGTCGATACGTAAACACTTAGAAAGAAAATGTTCTACTCGTATGTGGGAGTTATCGCAAATTTTTATTGACTGAGCAATGCCAGATATAATAGTGACAATAATTTTGAGCTTGAAATAGGCTCAAGAGCTGTTCCAAGGGTCTTAACCAATCAAATCGCTTGAGTTTTCTTGTCACGACGGGATATTACTATTAACGAGAGTTTTAGCATTTACAGCGATCGACGGTCTATCTACAATAACTACATTTACAGAATTTAAATGGTCTCTATTACATAAAAAAAATCTGAATTTTGTCGATTCAAGCGACTACAAATTCTTCGTCGTAGTAAGGTGGAAGGGCTTTGCCCGATCTTAATCTAAATAAAAGGTCAGTAAAACCCATATCTTTTCCTGGGATGTGGGAAAGTTCAAAATTAAAAGGTAACAACCTGTTTACCCAACGAGTCCTCTGCTCCATCTTGTGGCTCAAAATTTTTTGCCCGTGATATGATTGCCGTTCCTTGATCTAATCGATTATCAATAGAGATCAGAAGCTCCCCAGAAAGCGTCCAAAGGGCCGGCGAAGTCTAAATTATTTTCTTCGTTAGCAAATGGCAGTTCCGGTAGTTTGCTCATATGCCGAATTGAACCAAAATCAACAACAATGTTATATTTTTTGTCACTAGGCATTTTCTTAAATTATTATGCAAATTATTGATATCAATGAACTGGTTGCGTTAAACCGAGGGCGTGACTGTTTTTGACACGGCTACGAAAATTTGCTTGGATTTGTCATAAATTGATTATGACACATAGGAAAACTAAATTTAATGGCCGTTTTCAACAAAAAATTTAAACTCTAAAAGGGTATATCCACGAATTTATTTAAGTAATGATTTAAGATTTGTTCGTGGATTCCACAGACAATGGTTAAGTAATTGTTCGTAATTTCCGTATTATTTTTTCTAGCTAGCTATTGTTCAAGCTGATTATTGCTGAATACTTCACTTACAAGCTGCGGAATCCGCAAGCAGTTTGTGGAATCAATTAAAACAAACTGTCGCACTCTAATGTATTAATGTATTTTCCAGAGGTGAGAATTAACAGGCATTATGCTGAGGGTATCATCTGCGAGCCACCCAGACTCATTGTTGCCCGAAAATTGTACAAGCACAATACTAAGGTCCACAAAAGGGGCCCCAAAAAAACAAGTAAGACAAATAAACTAAAATCAGCGTTTTCGAATAAAAGGGTTTGCTTCTGGAGTGCTTCTGGTAAGGTATCAAACCAATGTTGGCCAGTTATGCGTCAAATGTATTTAGGAAGCAGGCGGATCCGCACCGTGTAGCGAGCCACCAAATCAAAAGCGCCGAAGACCAATAAAACAAAACTGAGAACAGTTCGTTGCGTAACGGATGTTTGGAGCTCACGGTTAAGTCCACGACAAACAACGAGAGAGTCACTTCCATGGTTCCAATTTAAATCTAATAAATGAGAATTCAAGTGGTCATTACCACTCGCAATTTCCTTTACTTTTGCAGTCACATCAATTGAAGGGTTTTAATTTTCTTCAATTGCAGGAACATTAGAAACAAACTTGGTGAGAGAGAAACCCTCCCAATTTAAGACGGTTCACCAGATCATTGCTTACTCTCACTGCCTCATTGCGGTTCTCGAATGAATCCAAGTAATCATCCATGTAGAACCTAGTAAGTACTGCTCTAGATGCTTCAGGAAAAATTTCAAGGTTATATCTGGCGGTTTGCTGAAGTGCGAAATTCGCGCACGTCGTGGAGTCCCGAGAACCAAAAATAGGCCATATACTGGAGAACTTCCACGTCCGATGTGGCATTCTCGCGCCACAAAAAACGCAAAGAAAGTAGATCACAAGAGGGTACCCCAACCTGGAGGAACATACCCTCGATAAACGCGGAAACGGCAAGTTGATGTTGGCTTAAGCGCAATAAAACGTGTAACAATCTCTGCAATAAATCAGGCCCAACAAGCAAAAATTTGTTTAAAAAATGGCCGTTTAAACTTTATCTGGCTTGTTGGGGTGGAGGACAGGATGGTGGGGCACATACAATTCAAGGCCGTAACGGAGCTGCGAGTCGTGCGGTCAAACAAGAAAGACATAACCATTATCGAGTTCCTCTTTTTTGTCTCAGTGTATTTACTTTTTAAACCACTGTGTTTTTCGAGCCGATTTTCAAGCGTCTTGAACTGTGCTAGCGCTGAGTAAAAGTTCTTGGGTGAAGAACTGCTATCATGCACCCATAATAATCCTACCCAAATCCTACCATGGTTTGTTGTTTATTCAAGATTATAATGCGCTCGCTTGCTTGTAAGCGCCATAGCTTTCTAACTCATTCCGCGCTTTAACTCATTCCGCACTCCTTCAACACTACACTTGAAACATGTTGACAACAACCCAGACGATGAAGGAAGTGTGCCACTCAAACCCATACTACCGGTAGACGAACAGCCATTGGAATTTTCCTATCTGCATCATGAATATATATCCAAGCGTGCTTATGTGGTGATAACATTTCTGAACAATTACTTTTCCAATGTCCCAATAACCATACCAAACTGGCTTCATTGGTTCCAGGTATGGATACTTTTCTTGGAGGGCCGGAACTTCAACCTTTTGAGACCCAATAATAGTTTGATCCTTTACATAAGCGGCTACTATGAACGTTTAATCGGTGTTATTTTTGTCAGCGGATAGTGTGACCTTGACTAACTGGGTTGAAATAACATACATTGAAATAAAACTATCTAGGGCCAAATCAACGTTATTCCCTGACAATTTCAGACGGCGGGTCAAACTTGCGGAAGAAGCCAGGAACGATTGCTCGCAGAATCACACAAAACGAGGGCGGTATCAATATTTGATTTAGATTCAACACTTAACTCAATAACCTGAAGAAGACTTTAAACGTCCTGCAAGAATGCAGAACAAGACGATGTTGATTTATCCGCCGGAACATTTCCGGTAGAAGACTTGTTTTCTTCCTTTCGAGGAGAAAATGAGATCTGCACCATGCAAGAGGACATTTTGTGTGCTTTCGCACTCAGGTTTAGTGCATTTCCTAGCCTTCGGCTACTTACGGAACATGTAGTCAGCTTGGAGACAGGAGAAACTGAGTTTTTTCACCGCAAAAAAAACTTTGCCCTTTGAGTAGGGTTATTTTCATTGGAGACCTTTCATCCCCATAACGGATGTTTAACACCGCGCTGCGGGTCCGGAGGATATTCGACCTTGTTTGGCTTAGCACTGGATGCAAAAACTCGGGTGGTCGTTTTTGTCTTGACGGGTTCCTCGGTTTTTGATTTAGTAGAAAAAGAT